CAACGAAGACAATAATAATGAAAATATAAAGAGAGTTTTCATTGAAAAACATTTAAAAAATGTAATGATCAATCAAATCGATCAGGCATTGAAAGATGCTTCTTATTTGGGGGAGGAAGATTTTAATATATTGCAAAAAGTTTATTTGGGGAGAGATCAGAATAGGAATAAGTCAGGCTTATCCAGCCTAGGAAGTTTCAGGGCCTCTTTCCAAAATGTATTATAACTAAAATATTTTACTTTTGCCACCAATATGTAATCACGTGGGTAAAATGCATGGAGAAGAGATTTTTTGGGATGCTGGCATCTATTCTGTTCTCCCTAGTCTGGTGGAGGTGATTTCAGCTATGTTGTTATTAGGAGCTCTTTGCTACCGAGCAGGATGCTCCTGTGTGAGGCACTTAGGCTTGTCCCAGGCGGGGCTCTCATTATATCATTTTCTTCTTCAGCTCTTCCCTCCCTAGGCTGCTGGGCAGGAAACTGAGCACCGGTAATTGGTGCATTAAAACAGAACATGTAGATGCCTACTGAAGAAAAGATTTTACAATTAGATTCTGCTTCAATTAGAAGGCTGTTTCCCTGTCTCTTCCTAAGGCCTTACCGCTCTTCAAAGCGAAGTTTGAGTTCTGTAAACAAAAGTACAAAACTTTTATCCTAAAACTGGCTTGTGCCAGTAGCGGGAGGGTACTTGGGGCTAGGTTAGGATGCACCCATCTTTTGAGCCAAGCCTACTTATTTAATTCACAGGAGGAGTGTGTATTCCTTTCTTTTGCCTCTGTCTTTGCTTAGATATCTTTTTGAGAGTTCTCAGTTTTCTGTAGCTGCTGTAGTATCAAGAAATAGGAAGAAAATGAGAAATAAGAGGTGGCAGGGACCCTGTCTCTAAGCTTTTCCACACCCCCAGCTGAAATTATCCTGCTCATTGGTGAACAGGTGCTGATTTCCCTCCCTGCTTTGGTCATTAAACACTTCTAGCTGCTTCAGTACAATTTCCCCCAAGGCCCCTGTCAGGGATGCTGCTTCTCCTGTGATTAGAACACAGCCAATTGGCCCTCTGAACCTAATACCATCCTTTTACTAATGACCTTATAATGGGTGCTGGGCTTATTCAAGCCACCTGATAGATAATGATGTCAATTATGCATACATCAAATAGTGCCTTCTCACTTGGAAAAATTTCTTGCTTAGTATTTTTTTGTAAAAAATAGAGCCAGCCAATAGCGAGATAAATGCTTATCTAATTTATATTTCCTAAATTTGTCACAGAGGTTTGGGTTCATGATCTAATACATTCATGAATTGCCATGGGGACAATAATACTAGTTTCACAGATTGTCTGTTGACATAAGTAAATAAAGTGAGTTTATTCATATAAAATTCTTAAGAAATTATCTTAAGATAAGGGGTTTTTGTTAGTGATTGCCATTCTCATTCATCACAAATACAAGTTTCTTCTCTTTGTATGTAGGTAAGTGAGTTTTACTAAGTAGGGGTGAGGTTACTGAGGAGGGAGAACAAAAGGTAATAAGAGATCAGTTGTGTATTAGGCTTTTCTTGGATTGCTATAAAGAAATACTTGAGACTGGATAATTTATAAGGAAAACAGGTTTAATTGGCTTATGGTTCTGCAGGGCTGATAGGAAACATGGCATTGGCATCTGCTTGGCTTCTGGGGAGGCTTCAGGAAGCTTATAATGATGGAAGAAGGTGATGGAGGAGCAAGCATCTCACATAGCCAGAGCAGGAGTAAGGAGGAGAGGAGATACCACATACTTTTAAACGACCTTATCTCACCAGAACTCACTCACTATTGCAAAGACAACACCAACACACGAAGGATCTACTCACATGAACCAAACACCTCCCATTGGGCCCCACTTCCAGCATGAGGAGTTACAATCCAACATAAGATTTGGGTGGGGACAAATAGCTAAACTATATCATTCCATCTCTGCCCCCCCAAATCTCATATTCTTCTCATATTGCAGAATACAATTACACCTTCTCAACACCTTCTCAATAGTCCCCTGAAGTCTTAACTCATTCCAGCATTAACTAAAACATCCAGTCTCCTCTGAGACAAAGCAAATCCCTTCCACTGATGAGCCTGTAAAATCAAAAACAAGTAAGCTACTTTCAAGATACCGTGGGGGTATAGGCATTGGGTAAACACTTCCACTTCTTGCATTCCTTCTGTCATGACACTCTGAACTGCCCTGGCTGCCAGCTTCTCAGCCTCAGGCGCACTTTAGGATCAGGCTCACATTCCCCAGGAACCAGAACAGCTGTCAACTGCAGCGCCTGGGCTCTGTTACTGACTCAGGTGGTTCTTCACCTTCCATCACTAATCTGCACTCTCCAGCTTTGTGGGTGGACAGTGAAGAAGACAATGCAGGGAGAATATTCTTTATGTTATCTTTGAAGTGCTGAATTTCTCATTATCATTCATTGCAAACTGCCCGCATAAAGAGCAGAGGGTCCATGCACACCATGCCTCTAAATTGCCTAATATTGAGATGAGGTTGATTAATTTTTAATGTTCTAATCCAGTCATGGTGAATTCTACCTCCTTCATGTTGAACTGCCTTTCACTGTGTTTTTAGTTTTGTTCTGCTGGGCACGGGTTTCTCTGCTTTGGATCTTTGACCAGGACTCTGTGGTTTCCTTCAACCCCTAATTCTTGGAAATAATTAATGTTCCTTTGTGCTGTTCCATTGGTTCTCATACATGTGGAGCCTGAATTCTACTATTAGGAATGAAGAACTGAAGGTATTTTTTTTTTCTCTCTTACAGCAGCCTTCAGACTTCCTTGCCTCTGCCCACATCTTAGATACTAAAAATACCCCTTAATATATTTTTGTGCCACTGATTGGAATCAGAGGCCTCCAAACATAGACATTATTAATTTTTCAATATCTTCTTCTAATTTAATTAGAAACTTTTTCATTTCAAGTAATAGACACCTAACTCAAACTGAATGATAAAGAAGGGAGGGATGGGGGAAGGGAAAAGGGGAGTTATTGGTTTGTATTGGGTGGAAAGTACAGGAATTAATCTGACTAAAGGGTAAGGAAGAGAATCAGGGAATCGGGGTAGCATGATGCCGTGATATGCCTGTGTCTCTCTCCATTTCAGATTTGTTTTCCTCTGTAAAATGATTTCGTATTGCTGAGTCATTTATCAGGTGATCAGAAATGTGGTTTTTGGCAGATACTTAGGGTCATGCAGCTTGATATTCTAGAGAAGTAGAATTCTCCCCTCTCCCAAAGAACATCTCACATGAGGTTTTGACTAGTTTTACTGATTCCACAACTATCTTGAACTCATCATCATGTTGGAGAAATTAGAGTACTCTAACTGGCTAGTGTGTAACAAGTCAGGATGACCAAGAGGGTCCTTTGTGTGACAGCTTCATTAAATCACAGATCTGAGGAGGAAGGTTTCCCAAAGGAGAAGAAAAGCTTTACAGTGAAGAAGATAAAGGGATTTAAAGGCCTCGAAAATGGGGGTTCACAATAATGACTCAGCTCTCATCAAGATAAGGCATGAGTCCAGCCATGAGATTTTGCATGCAAAAAAAAGAACATAAATAACTATGCCCTGCATGTGTAAGAGGTCATGCAGTCCTTAAAGAATGCCTGCATCCACACCACAGTGGGCTGGTATAATCACCCCCCATTCCAAACACAGATCTGTGTGATACTGTACTTTTCAATAAAGACAACTCATCCATTTAGTGATGGTCAACATTCCCCCATCCCTCAACAAACAGCCTCCTCTGTGATGTTGGGTTTAGTAAATATCTTGAATGCTCTTTCTATGTCCTGTCCTCCTTCACTGCATTGTCTTGAGTCTCAATTGGTTTGACTTCATCTCATGTTTTCTTTTACCCTAGGATTTAAAAATTCATTTTAAGCTTGAGTTGACTCTGTTGAGCCGTAAACACACACTGGTTTACCTCCTGCTTCTGATTTCCCCACCTCAACTCCTCCCTCTGCACTTAGAAGGCTGAATGAGAAAAGAGAATGAACTTGGACTTCGAAGGTAGGCAGGTGTGAACTCTGTGTTCACCTCAGAGTTCAGCAATGTCAGCCAGTATCAATAACTCACATACATAGCGGCTTGCTGTGTAGCAAACACTGTACAAAACACTTTTAAAACATATTTTCATGTTAAACATACTCTCCTTTTCTTTATCTTCTACCTCCGACTCCTCTTCTTTTTCTTCCTCTTTTTATCCTCCTTTGCTTCTCCTTCTCATATCCACTTTCTATTCACTCACTGCCATTTTTGCCACAGAACTTTGCAGAGGGGGAGGTAAGCACCGCTTAGTATTTAAGTCACTCGAGCAAGCTTTGTTCCATATATGTGCTGGCATGGCCCAGTATCTCAGCCCTATGCCCGGAACTGCCCCTTCTGTGCTTCCTAATAGGTGTTTCCTGTGGGTGCCATTTTGCTCATGCAAAGAGAACTCTGGGAGAATCCCAGTCACTGTAGTTGCGTTTACCCTGTCCATGCACTGCTGTCAGTGTCCTGTGCCCCATTAACATTTTTTGTCCTAACTGCCTTCTCATTTACCCTCAAAGCTCGAGTTGACCCTGTCTGATTCTGCTCAACTCCATCATTAAGGAGAGCATGCTAATATCAAGTGTCCACCGCATGCCGTATGCTGGGTTTCTAATAAAACTTGTTTCCTTTATACTCACAGCAACCCTCTGGTAAAAGGTATGATTTTCTTAATCTTATGGGGAAAAAAAGGAATTAAGACTCAAAGAGGTAAGCGACTTGTCAAAGAAAACATACGTAGAAAGACTGCCTGGAATTCCTGTCATGACCGGTTTGCTCAAAGGTCCACACTCTCCGTTCTGCCAAACCCTATCACTAACACGAAGACTGGACTTCATGTAGATTCACTAACCACACCCTAGACAAGCATGCCTCCGCACTCTCCATGGCAGCATCTGACTTCCCTGTGAACTCTAGTTTTTTTATTCACTTACCTTGAGTCCAAGGAGTTAGAGAGGCCATTGTAAAGAAATGTTAGATTCTAACCCCTGCCGGAAGCAAGAGAGTGGAAGTCGGTGGGACACTGAAAGGTCACTACAGTTTGTGGCAGCTGCTGGTTTTGAAGCAGTGGTTTATACTTCACTTTCCTTTCCTGTCAAGTCGTCGCTGGTTCTTAAAGAGGTCAAGGTCCTGCTGGGCAGATAACGGGTACAGTTTCTTTCTGTTAGGACGATTATGAAGAAAAGACTTGCCATCTCATGCTCACCACTAAAGCTTTGCCTTTGTTTCATTCAGATATTCTGTATGAAATTTGGGGCCAATTTTAAGGAGATAGAGACACTATGCAATAGACAGCAGGGGCTGCTGCGGGCTTAGAGATGGAGGAAAGGGACCATGAGCCAAAATGCAGGGGGCCTCTTGAACTGAAAAAGTCAAGGAAAGTGATTTTCCCTAGAGACTTCAGAGGGACTGTGGCCCTTTAGATTCCTTTATTTTAGTCCAGTAAAACCCAGTTTGTGTATCTGAACTCCAGAACTGTACAGTAAAAAAATCTGTGGGTCTTTTTTTTATAATTTGTTTATGTTAATTTGTTACAAAATCGGTAGAAAACTAGTGTGCTTGTCTCAAGTCTTTTTTCTTCCTGTAAAGATTCTCATCGTGTGCAGTCTTGATACTTCTCATCATCCTACAGAGACAACGCATGGGCCAGCACTGACCACATTACAGTCCTGAGGGTATAAGGGTAATACTGTTTAAGTTATTTGTTCTTCGCTCTACTTTTTCTTCTTTACAATACAGTTTTCGAGCCTTGCCCAATCCACCAAGCAACCCTTGGTTCTTCTCTGTAAGAAAAGCTTTCTCTGCTTATTTCAGACGAACTCATTGTCTAGCCCTTAGGCTAAATGGTATAGTCTTGGAAGGTGACATTAATAGTCCATCTTCCCACTTAAGAAGTGAAGTATCATTCACTTTCTTGTTCTCAGTAGAAATAGATTTCATTGTTTGTTTTATCTTCCTTCTCAGGCTTCTCCTTTGATGTGTCTTTATTGGGTTGTCTTCCTTTGTCCATCCCTTAAGTTTCACTGTGCTGGATGGCTGAGGAAGTTCCCACTTTTCACATAACCCTGCTTCTTACGCAATAAAGGCCACTCAACTTTTGAGCATTTGGTGTCAGAAACCTCTGAAAAATTCTGGATTTTTAAAAATTGACTTTTTACAGTGCCACATCTAATCACTGAGAAAATCCCGTTGGCTTGGCTTTGCCTTCTTATCAGCCCAAAACTGACTTGCTTCTTACAACCTCCTCCGCTGCCACTGTGGTCCAAGCCAGTGTTTTTCTCATACCTGAATTGCTACATTTGCTTCCTAGTGGCTCTCCCTGCAGCCGCCCTTGCCCAGAGTGCTGCTAAGAAGTCACCCGGCAAAACCATCCTTTCAAAACGTGAGTTCTGTTAGGACATCCCTCCGTTCAGCCTGTCCCATGCCCACACCTCACTCACAGTGAAGTTTGTTCTCACTGTAACTTAGTCACTAATCTGACTTCATCCTCTACGCCTTTCTTCCTTGCTTTCTCTGCTGTGGCCACACAGCCTTCTTGTTCCTCCTAGAACACATCAAATAAGCTTCTATTTCAGTGTATTCACATTTGCTATTTTTTCATCTTCTTGGAATGTTCTCACGGATATCCATATGGCTTACTTCCTCACTTCCTCCAAGCTTTTCTTCACATGTCCTCAGTTAGGCCTGTGCCGATAACCATATTTCAAATTTCAGCTTCTGCCACAGCATTTACTTTACCCTAAATAGTCTTTGTGATGTACTCTTTTCTCACGTCTAATGTCAAAATGTGCCCCCTCACCCATGTAAGCTCAAGGAGATCAAGGGCTTTTGTCTTCTTCCATTTCCCAGCCTTTCCCGCAATGTCTAGAGCAATGCCGGACATAAAGTAAATGCAAAAAAATTACATTTTTCTCATTTTATATGTTTTTCTTGGGCAATTTCATTTAGTTTTATAAAACTCATGTGCCAGGCTTTCCCTGACCTCCCTCAGAGTGGCTCTGTATAAAGGACTAGCACCTTGTCCATTCAGTTGCCCAGGTCAGAAATAAGGTTCTGCCACATATTTTATTCAGGCATTAAATGGTCAGTCATGAAATGCATTCCTCTCATATGCCAGGCATGGTGCCATACGCCAGGGAGATCTTCGTCATAAAACAGAAATGATTCTTGCTCTCACAAGCTAGTAATCAAGTTGGGAACAGCTAATCACAAAACAGATAAACACTGAGTGAGAAGAGACAATATTTACTTTATAATCTTTCAGTTTTCTATGCTGGGAAGGGAACTTCTATTGGCACAATGTTAGCAGTAAGATAATAATGCTGACAACATTAGCAAATGCTCATATTCCACTTCCTAAGTGTCAGGTCTTACACCCAGTACATAGACTGGCTCAGCGAATGCCGTGATCAACCCTGTGAGATGTGTGGTGTTATTATCTCTCTTTTACTGAGGCAGAGCTGAAGAACAAACATGGCTTGTTCAAATAAACAGGACAAGAAAGTGTCTGAGTTGGGTTCCAACTGAGACAGTCTGATAGCAGCATCTTAACTGTACCAATGACATTTCCATTGTCTTCGTCCAATCAGTAGAATCAACCATTTAGAGCCGAGAACATTCTGCGTTTGCTTTTTCCTCTTAGCAGTCTCAGTACCAGCCCCCAAATACACCCCACTCCTTGCTTCCAGTTTCTGGCAACATGCAATCTTCTCTTTTCTTCCTTCATTCCAAGGAAAGTCACAGCTTTCTGCAGTCATTAATGTTCGTTTTGGCTCCATCGGTTTTCCAACACTTGTGTAACCGATTTTGTGTGCTTGATCCTCACTATTTGAAATACTTACTGGGTTTTGTTTCTTGACTGGACTTTGAGTGATCCAGCTTTATATGTGGCTCTGATGGTCACGATAACTCTATACACTGTAGATGATTACCTCGTTTTATACCGTAAAAATTTAAAGTTTTGGGTGAGTGAAGCCACTTGTTTTTCAAGGTCAAGGATAGGTTTCATCCCCAGGACTTACTACTTTAAAATCTGTGCTCACTTCACAGGAACATTGGTTGGTATTTTCAAATTAGATATTCAAGGACTTATTCATTCAAAGACAGATGTCTCACTTAAATTGTCCCCTTCAAAGCTCTATTCTTGTCCTCAAAATGTTTCAACATTCCACATCATACTCTTTTAAATTTCATAATTTGTGGCTCTTCAATCTTTCAATCTTTGAAGAAATATGTATGTTTAAGAAAAAGCTTATAACCTAGATCTTCAAAATAAAATGATCTTATTATACTTGAAAACATCATTGGAATTAAACACATCATATAACTACAAAATGACAAAACTACATCCTCTATGAGATGCATGAATTGACTCTGAATTAATTTACTGAGATCCAGTTAAGTAGCTAAATCTGGATTGAGAAGCTAGTTCCTAAGGAGAGACTTGTCCATGTGGTTTGAGTGGATAGTTTCTGTCAGAAAGTAATGTGAAAGATGCAAAATTTACATTAATGCATGTTTGCTAAATATTCCTATTGCTCTATGTAACAGACATGCACCCAGAAGGTAAATGAGTATGACAGGTGTATGAACCCTTTTTGAGTTCCAGGCATACGTTCCCAGGATATCACTGACAAGAAATGGCTACAAACAAAACCACATACAATAAAGTCGTAGAGCAAAGAATCATTTTCATCTGATTCCGCCAGGCCTTAGGACCTGATCTCACTAGGTCAGTTCCATGATCTCACTTGATTAAAATGTTTTTTCACCCACTTTTTAGAAATTGTGAACTACTATTTATCTTTTTTACAGATGCAAATTAAAAGGCAAACAGAAAGAGTGTTTGGCTTGGATTTATAAGAAAAGAAAAAAAAAAGATGCAGCTTCCACAGTCACAACACCCTAGAAATGTTTGGGAATCAAAAAACTTCAGAAACACAGAAATGCAGTGTCTCTTTCACTGCTGTGGAGACTCTTAGTGTCTTTGTCTTTATTCAACAAAATCAAGATGCAGCTTAGTGTGAGGAGAGCAGCAAACCAGCTGATAATAAGGGCCTGGAAAGAAAGGCAGGAGAAAATCGTCCTTTTTGCACAGCATCTTATTACAGCAAAGTGAAAGGACATGATGAAAATAGAAAGAAACAGCAGCGAGAAGTGGAAAAAGAGACAAAAGAGAGAGAAATTCTCAATGTTTTGGAGATGTTTCACAACCAGGAGAATTAGGTCTAAAACTTCCCCATATCCAGAAGGATGGGGCTGGGAAATGTGGATATTGAGTAGGAGAAGGCAATATGCTGGGGGCAGAGGTGGTTCATTCTCTGATTGTAGAGGGCAGAGTCAGAATGTTTTGGGGGAAGATGTTGATGGAAACTTAGAGCATTTAGAGTGTAGTGCAGAAGATGTGTGAGGGACAGAGTCTAGAGTCTCACACCTGAAAAAGATAATATGAACACAAGTCCAGAAAATAAGGAGTGGATTGGACTAAGTGTCACATTATTTATGTTTCCATTGAGCATTTTGTACCAGGACAGGATGAGGGTTACTTATGCTCCCTTGCGCTCATTGCAGGGATGCTGCACTGGTAGGTCAGTGGACTACACTCATTACCATTGGCTGATGCCTGAGCCGTACTGATTTGTATTATTCTGAATCTCTCTCCTACTTAGTATCATTTCTGGGACAGTCTAATGATGCGCCAAAGAGGAGATACAAAGCCATTGAATGATTCCTATTATGTGCGCCTAGCCTGCGTAAAGCTCCCTTTCCCGAGAAGTCAGAGTAAGTGGAGTACCTACAACTTTACTTTGATCTATCTCAAAGGCATAACCAACTCCCTGGCAGCCAGGCTCAGCGGAGCACACAGGCATGGCCAGTCACCCAGTGGTTCTCACAGCCACAGTAGCTCTGTTGTGCTAATGGGCTTCTTTTAATGCTGAGAGATCAGCTCTGCAATTTGCTCAACAGCCCTGGGCCAGCTTTGCAGAGGCCTTATTGCTCCCATTCAGGCCATGTGGTCTGTGAGTTGGAGCAAGAGTATATAGTGAGTACTTCTGTGTGAATAACCCTGCGAGAGCTCCCTGCACTCCAATTATTGACTGAGGCAAGTCTCTGAGCCTGGATAATTGTCTATAGGAAGCATCAACGCTGATAGTTAGCATTGGCCAAGAGGCAAATGTGGCCTCCAAGAGTGACCGTATTGGCCTGGGTGCCTATTTAAGAAAAATTCAATGTTGTCTCCGTTTGTGCTACACAGTTTTCCTGAGTGTGTGGAACTGCGTTCATGGCTCCTGTCCTCTCATCTATGACCCCATCATTAGGCATCTCTCTGGGAGCAGTACTACTTTTCTCACATACATTCTCTGAAGAAGGTTCTTTAGTCTTACCTCCGCATTTCCTAAAAGAATGTGTTGTCATGACGGCAGTGAGGCAAGAGCTTAGGCTTTGGGGTCAGACAGAATGGGTTTGGAGCCCAGTTGTACCACTTAAAAGCTTTGTGATGTAGAGTCACTTAATCTCACTGTGCTTCAGTTTTCCCATCTGTATAATGGGGTCAACATAGTCCTTCTAAATAATGGGGTGTCATTAGGATTAGCTGAGTGAGTGCAACAATGCTAGCACAAGCAAGCTCTCTGCAAATATGAGTTAGGTGCTCTTCCACAGTTGCCCATTACTTGTAGGTTTGGGTTTGCTGAAGGCCTTCTATTAAAATGTAGTTTGTTTGTTTTTCTTTTTTTAATTTTCATGTATGTTGAAGCCAACAGATTAGATGATGTCATTTATATGTATAGTTTATTATATTCACAATTCCCAAGAGAAGAGGGTACGCTACACCACACAGGGTCACACAGGTGTGGGTCAGAAGGCAGAGGGGCAAGAAAACATGGGGAAGAGCCTTGACTGGGGTTTCTGTGGGAAGGAACAAGTGAGGTGGATATATAGATTTAGGATTGGCTAGTTTGAATAATTTCCACAGGCTCTGGGGTATAGGACCTGCCTGTAGTTATCTAGTATCTGGTTCTGGGTGATTACAGTAGAAGAATAATGGTCCAGAATGTGGAGCCTGTAGAGGTGGTAGGGGTTTCGGTTCTGGGTGCGTTCATTTGCATCTGAAAGAGGTGCTCTGAAGTGAGTCAAAATTTACACCACTAAGAATTAACTAGGTCTGAGAATAGAAGTGTCTTCAGGGTCAGCAAGACCCCAGATGCCAAAGCATAAAAGGTACAGAAAATAAATATGCATGATTAGTGCAGGTCTTTTCTTAGTGTGTCCAGAAATAAAAGGGAAAATCAAGGAAATTAACTGTTATTGCATACCTACCCACAGCACCTAAGACCATTCACCCATGGACTTCACCTCGTGCAGGCTGAAGTTCTGCATTCCTCAGTTTGGGATGGCACTTTGAGCTCCATGCTTTTCACTTCTTCTGTCTGAGAAGCATTACACCAAGTCCATGCTTCAATTCTCATTATAATGATAATACAGCTAATATTTCACAATTAAGTACTGAGTAGACTAC